CACAAGGTGGGTCCCTATGCTGTGATGTGGAGAATAAACTCTGGGGGTGAGGCAAGGGCTCTGCCACTGGGGCCTGCTCTCCAGGCCAGTTCTCTAAAGTCACTTTGTATCTTAAGAACATAAGAATGGTCACGCTGGGTCAGCACAATGGTCCCTCCTGCCTTCTGACAGTGGCCGGTGCCAGGTGCTTCAGAGGGAATGAACAGAACAGGGCAATTACTGACTGATCCATCCCGTGGTCTAGTTCCAGTTTCTGGCAGTTAGAGGCTTAGGACACCCGGGGTTGCCTCCCTGACCATCTTGGCTAATAGCCATGGGTGAGCCTATTCTCCATGAACCCTTGGTGCTGCCTGTGCTCAGCAAGGCTTTGATTCTGCCTCCCTGAGCTCAGGGGGAGCTGTGTGACTGATTCAAAGGGCACAGGGACCTGCCCTAGGTCCCCTTCTCATGCTCGCTGTGCTGCTCCTACCTGCATGAGGCATGTGGCTAATTGGAAAAAGCCAGCTAGAAACCTTGCTGATTGTAGCACAGCAACTGCTGCAGCCTCAGGGGCTTGGCAAGTCCAACTCCTCCACTGAGATTTCCCTGTGGTGAACTGCAGGCAGCAGATTCTGTGTGCGGTGGGAAGGGCTTGCTCTGTCGCTGGCTGGGGTGGAGTTGGACGGTGGGGGGCCTTGACAGATGGAGCTGGCGATGTGCTGGCTGCGAGCACTCCTCCTAAACCAAGTCCAGGCAGATCTAAATGAATGTAGCACCTGGGTTGCCGTATCTGTGCTCTGGAGATATTCCCATTACCAAGCACTCCGTAGGATCTGACATGGTGACATTCACTGATGAGAGTCCAAGCGAACCTGTAACCTTGGTGGCGAAGATTGGGGGGGCTTGCCCACAGGTCTCACAGGACTGGGGCAGGGTATTGACCAGACTCTGTGGTTGGTACCATGCACCACCTCCCTGTGATGGTCCCGCATTAGCCCTGCTCATGTGCTGCACAGAAAGGGGGATGGGTTGATGGAACACTCAGAGCTCACCGCATGTCCATCGTTGAGGTATTTCCTGGGCCGCGGTTAGGACCAAACCACAAACGAGGGTGGGGGTGAACCAGACAGTGAGTTGCCAGTAGGGGAGAGGCCGGAGGGAGAAATGGGGCCAGGACGGTAGTGGAAGCAAAGGTGCAGGGTCCAGGAGCTGCCAGAGATGGCAGGCTGAGATGGGACCCCCAGAGGAGAGCCCGCAGCACAGGGGCATTGCCCAACTGGAGCAGGGGATGAGGAGCCCTGATCTGGCAAGAGGGATGCAGAGATGCTGGCATGGCTGCAGCTCTGGAAGTGTGCGGCTCTCTGCCTTGCCCACAGCTGACCCTGCCCAAGGAGCAAAACTCCTGGGTGAGACCCTGGGGGTGAAGGGTATGCCTGCAACAGGAGCTACCAGCTCATGACTGGTAAGGGTGGGCTGGCCACGGGCAGTGCCTTGTGGGGTGAGAGGGTGGAAAGCTGGAGGAAACCCAGAGGCAAAGGGGTAACTGAGTGCAGTCCCTGGAGAAATGCTCCCCAATGCTGGGAGCCCAGACCCGGGGAGGGTATGTGGTGGAGGAGGAGGGGATAGAACTTGCTGAGACCTGGGACTGCTGGGTTGAGCAAAGGAAGCGACTCTTTGGGTGGAATGGGGTGGTTTGACGGCAAGGGAGGTGCATGGGCTGTAACCCCTCTGGGCAGGGCGTGAGTGGGGGGGGGGATTGGGTCTCTGCAGGCACCCACTGTTCTGTCCTGTCTCTGCGGTCTCGATATAACCTGGGGGCTGCTGTTATCGGGGTCCTGCTGACCACCTGACCCTTCCCCCCGCCCCATGCAGCTGCTGTGCTCTGCGGGTCTGCTAGCGCTGGAGGCCAGGGCAGGGAGGAGGTCAGCTGGTAGCTAACCGTATGGGGCCTCCTTCCTGCAGCTCTGTGTTAAATGCTGTGGCTGGCAGGAACTTTCCAGGAAACAGCAGAGAGAGGAGCAGGGGGGCGGGGATTATACCGCAGTGACGTCACCGCCGCTGTGCTGCACGGGGTGGGCGCACAGGGGAAGCATCCCATCACAGAGCCTGGGGCCCCGGCATACGGGTATTGTCCCCATGGCTGAGGGGTCTGCACTCTGCACAGTGCCCCTGCAGTGCAGCCCAGAGCCTTGAGGAAGTGCCTTGGGGTGAACTTTCTTGCACAATCTCCTGCGAGCGGAAGGGGGTGAGGGGTTCACACAGCTTTAGTTACCCACGTTCAAAACATGACATACGCCTGGGCTCCTTCTCCCAAAGCTTGCACACCAACCAGCCCCTGCACCTCAGCACTGGCTGCCAGACACATTGCTGGGCACTATTCTGAAATGCTGTCTTGTGTCTGCTGTGGCAATCCCTGGGCCGGAGGAGGGGCTACATTGGATTTCCCCAGTGGGCCCAGAGTTCAAGCTCCTTTCTCACCCTGAACAGTAGCTGGCCTGAGCACACGTGTCCAGCGTTAGAGCCAGGTTAATCCTGGGTGAATGGCCCTCATTAGGGGCAGGGCCGATGCAAGGCGAAACGTCCACCTTGCGCCCCCGCCAGCCCTGCGGCAGTTCCCCGCCTCTGCCCTCAGGTGCCCCCCTGTGGCAGCTTCCCCTCCCTGGGGAGCCGTGCAGCAGCTCCCCACCCCAGCTCACCTCTGCTCTGCCTCCTCCCCGAGCACGCCGCCCCCGCTCTAACTCTCCTCCCCTCCCAGGCTTGCGGCCCCAAACAGCTGATTGGCGCCGCAAGCCTGGGAGGCGGGAGAAGTGGAGCGTCCGCTGCGCTGGGAGAGGGAGTCTGAGCCACACATGTCAGTGCGCCGCCGGCAGCCCAGCCCAGGAATGCTGTAAAAAAAAACAAAAAAAAAAACTGCTTTTTGGTGCCCCCGAATCTTGGCGCCTTAGGCAACCGCCTAATTTGCCTTAATGGTAGCACCGTCCCTGACTAGGGGCCTGGTGCGGGCCCTGGCCCTCCAACAGCCTCTCCCATGTGCTCCCTGGCCAGCCAGGGCTCTATTAGCATCCCCTTCCCCTGAGACTACAGAACTCTGCCTTGGCTGGCTAAGGTTAAGCTGTCCCTGTGTATTGCTGCTTTGCCTGGCCTGCCCGTGTGTCGAAGCTGCAGCAAGCATGTTCCCGGTGAGATCCTGGTGTGCAGTGAGAACGTCCTGCTGGAGCCATTTCAGCCCAGGATCTGTGCCCGCACGGGGTGCTGGGGCAGGACAGCATTGGCAGGAGAGGTTGCAGGGGCATCACTGGCTATTGCTGGTCTGATGGAAGCCAACACAGCATGGGGAGAATGTTACTAACAAGGGTGGGGAAGGGGGTTGTCCCTGCTGGAGGGAATGAGTGAGTCTCTCTTATCACCCCATCCTCTGTAGGGGCTGGCGCCCCTCTTGGACATCCTTCCTCATCTGCCCCAGGCAACGCACTGCCTCGGTGGCCTTAACTGGCCTCTCTCTTCCTACATCTATCTACACAACAGCTAGGAGGTTGCTCCCTAGGCAGGTAGACAGAGGCACAGTTCTACTCAAGCTAGTGTGCTAACAATAGCAGTGTGGCCCCAGTGTGCGGGTGGCCGCCAGAGTACAATCCCACTCACCCTCGGGGAACATACTCAGGTGGGAGTCAACCGTCTGTCGTGGCCCCGCTGCTATTGGAAGCAGGCTAACTCATGTGTACCAGTCTGCCCATGCTGGGAAGCAGCCCTTGCGTCTCAGGACAGGCCTGACCCCCAGTGCCCAGCCCAGCCCTGTCCTGAACTGGAAATTGCCCACTTCCACAGTGTGAACTGGGACTCTCCTCCACACCCCGCACTCTGCACTGGCTGGCAGGGGGCTTTGGGTCTGAGTCATGGTGCCTGTGTCTGGTGATAGACAAGGAGGTGACTCGGAGGGCAGGTGCAGAGGGCCCATCTGCCCTGGAATGGGGCAGGGACACCACTGGCTTAGGAGGTGAGTGGGCAGGGTCTGGACTCTGCCTGGGACCTTTCTCCTTTGACAGATGGTCAAGCAGCAACACTCCTTCCCCCAGCAGTGGGGCTAGCACTGGTGGGGAGCCGCACAGGACCAGCTGCTCCCCAGGTATGTCTGCAGTTCAGGTCAAAGGCAGTAGGGTGAGACTCAGGGAGGGAAGGGCCAGCCCCCTGTTGTCCCATGACCTGTGCTCTCAGCCAGAAACCAGCAGGAAGTAACAGGCTGGCTGGGAGGGTGCTGTCTTGGGGAGGTGGGGTGGGGGGAATGGGGCCCTCTGTGAGGGAGGGAAACTATTGGGAGGGTGAGTAAAG